TTGTGTGCAATTATACAGGTAAAAATGGGAAGTCTAGGCTATGAATTTCGTACGGAGGATATTGTCAATAAGATGAAAAAACTCAGACAGAAATATAAATCGGAAAAAGATAAAGCCAAAAGAAGGGATACTGGAAAAAGAAAAGCATGGAAGTTCTTTTTCAAAAATAGATTGTATACTGGGATTTTGTCCCAATATTTAACCACCTTTTACGACTCATCACATGAAGATGATGGACCAATGAGTAAGATTTGTTTCCATTGAATGTATTAAGTAAATACCATGAAAAATATCCACTACGAATAATTTCTGTATTCCTTGCAAAGATGCTAGCATATAATAAAATTTTGAACATTGTAGGGAACAAACATTTTTTATGGCAAGCTAATGTTTTTTCCTTCAATATATTTTATTGTTTTTAAGCTTGGTTTGAAAGAAAGTATTTTTCACATCACTTTTGTGTAAGCTTAGTTTTATTTCTATTATGTATTTATTTATTTACTTATGCATGTGCATGTTACAGCACTACAAGATGATATCCTGGAAGAAAAAGAAAATGATGATTTGTCATTCGAAGATCAACAGACAGCAGATCAACTTCCACTAACTAATAATTATTCAAACAGTATTGATAAAAAATTGGAAGCACACTGTAAAACAAAGTGCTTCAAGGCTTCTATCAAACAGAAAGAAAAAATTGGGTAATTTTGAGAAAGGCATTTCAATCCTTTGTTCACATTTTTAATGAATCATCAGAAAAACAAACGGAATGGTTAGTTTTAAATGAACATCTTCACTTAACTGGTTTACAACTTTTTCCGACTTATCACAATTTGCCAACTTAGTACGTAATTCTATCTTTTACTAAACGCCATGACCCAAATGCATGTTTTGTCTATTTGCTTATATTTTGTATGACTATCTTCGCAAAAGGTCTTTAAAGTTAGAAAAGGAAAAAAATCAACAACAATTGGACACGTAAATAAGGTTGACGGAGCTGGAAAACCAAAGAAGAAAGGAAGAAAGAGATCATGAGCTGAGACACAGTTACCAAGTGCACCTAGTTCTTTAGTTCAATTTAATCAGCTACAATCTTCTGCAGGCTTTAATAGGCCATCCTCTGTCACTCCTTTTGCATACACCAATGCTCACGACAGCAACTCTACTTGCACCTCATATCCACCAAACAAATTTGCAATGGCAAGTGGAAGCTCTGCCAAACAAACTGAGCCATATAATTACTTAAAGCTATAGGGATTAAAACATACATAATGTTTATAAGTTAAGTTTTTGGAGAAAAACAAACTATATTTGTAAACAGATTTATATGTTTTGCTTAACAACTCATATTGAAAAGTTTTGTCTACCAATGTTCACTTATATTAAAGATTTTTTTTTCTTTTGATAATGATACTCATGTTTGATCACGATACTTGCTCCACATAGTTTCTATCTGAACTTCATTCCAATAGTTGCAGCAACTATCCAGTTCCAGTGAAAGAGCCCTCATATGTCATAAAATAATAGCCAAGTAATCTTGTGTGGAAGTGGCATCTTGTATCATATTGAGCCACCTCATCTTACACTCCAATTGGTTGGGGAAACATGACTTTTGCTTACTCTGTCTCATGAAGCCATTTGTCAAGAACTTTTTCTTGATTGATTTAACTGATATTATTAAGAATGCATTATGCAGCAACCACTGTTATCAATGTTTTCACTTTCATATCAGTTCTTTTCAATAGTCTTCAAAACCTCCCTTCCACCGTTCAAAAATATTTTCTACAGTACCTCAGGCGCTGCTTAACCTGTAATTTAAATTTTTCTGTTTACCAGTTGTGTTAGCATTTTGTGGGTATGGCTTTAAACGTCATGACAACAATGGGTAGGTAGGGTCTTCGAGAACAGGTAATATTGCATTGTTACTAACATTAAAAGTAGTGCTGGCAAGACCAAGCTTTTTGCCCTTACCCAATCTAAATATATTTGAGTCACTTAGTATTCTAGCATCGTGAATACTCCCAGGCCATCCCAATATTATATCACAAAACAAGTAGTTGACATTAACAAGAGCTTGGATAACAATGCTATGATATCCCTTCCTGTTTATGTAATCTGCATGATTTTGCAGTGGTGCAATAATCGGAATATGAGTTCTATCTATTGCTCCCCACTAAGCTGAAAACCCCCATTTAGCTTATATAGGTATCTGTAATTTCTTGCAGTTCATGAAAAGTAGGAAGTGAAATTAATCTTGATTGAAGCTTGTATACAATTGCCTTGTACACATCATTCACATAAGTGCACACAAAGGATCAAGACACTCGAACAGGTTAGCAATGCTGTTGAGGCTAAATAGTATATTGTTATGGCGACACGGCGACACACAGCTTTGCGAAGATTGTTGTTTCGCGCTTGGTTCGAATTCAACAGCTGAAACAATAAATAGAAAGGTTTGCGCTTATTCGAAAATTTTCATACCACTCAGCTTCTGTAAAGCTTTCATTTGCAAGACAAAACCATGCATCAGTTTGGGTACGACACCAGAGAGAACGTTCCCTCGGAATGTTTGATATAGCAAACAGAAGTATTGAATACTTTCTATTTCTTGCAATACGACTAATAACTCATCCAACATCGTCGTTTTTTCTTGCAGATGTTTTGTCACTTTCCGTTGCATTGATGTATACATAAATCTATTTTTTCTCTTAAAAAACATAAACAGCCACTTCATTTTTTCTAGTTGCATTACAGGCGCCATATTGAAATATATACAAAGTAGCAGTGCTTTTTATTATTAACGTGCTTGTTTGTTAACAGTGTAAACATCGGTTGCCGTGCCGGAAAACAATGTTACCCATGCCGGTTTTTTGCCGTGCCGTGCCCAAAAATTTGTATTGTAAACGGGGCTCAATGTCAAAACATTTGATGTCCGTGTCCCCTGTTTTCAGTTATGTTAATTCGGGAACTTTACACCGCAGCCATGTTTCCAGCCAGAAAATGCAGCCAGATCGCAATGTAATTTACAGTGCCAAGGAAATGTTTTTAACCGAAAACTAAAATAGTTTGGCACATTGGCAGTTTTTTGCATTTCTCGAGTAGAGACAGTAAATTGCAGCAAGTCTTCTATGTCTTATTGGTCAATTCGATATCGCTTTTTAAAAATAAGTGTTTGTAGAAATATTAAAGGTAAAAGTTGAATACGGACGACATGTTGTCTGTTCTGGCTGTTCATCAAAGTTCTAGAGGTAAGGGTCAGTTCATTTGCCCATGTTTTTTTCTTGGACTGTGAATAAATCTTCATTAAATTTTTCAATATTGTTTAGTTTAAAGATGTTTGACCTTTATATATTTCCAACATTTCCTTTTGGTGGTGGTAAAGTCACAATATGCAAAATTGATTGCGTAATAGATATGCATTCGGATAAAAAGCTTTACCTAATAATCATGTGGGAACTCTGTACATACATCAACTGGTGTGATTGCTTGAAGGACTTTCAATATCTTTGCCCCAACATTGTAATTTTTGGTTGTAATAGAAAAGCAATTCATGAAAGTATCTCCCAGTGTCTTTATATATTCCACATATCTTCTAGCTGGGACATTCAACCCACCAAAATTCTTACTATCACATGCTTTGAAATAGCAGAAAAGCTGTTGATCACTGTGAAAATCATTTGATGTCAAAATTCTCTTGCATTCTTCACAGCTGTGCATCTTGAATGATTTTTTCAGCAAGTAGCCAGCAACATAAACTACAGCATTATGTTGAATGATTTCTTTGTTTCTTTATCTACTTCATGTTATGTAGCTTGCTAAGTAAATTATGTGTATAATTTTTAAGAATTCTTTTCCTCATTTTTAAAAATAGTGTTTTATTGTTTTATTTAAACTTACTTGAAATCTATTGGAATATAAAATATGAAAAATTACTTATTTACCACATGGAACATATTAAATTTCTTTTCTTTCAATTGCCCTTCGTTTTTTCCCAATTTGGGGTGGAGGATTGGAAATTTTGAATAGAGTTGGCTTACTCTGAGGATTTAATCTCTTCTTCTCCATGCTGGTGAACATGCAGTCCTCAAAATGATCTGCACACAGTTTACAATTCTTGTAAAGATATTCTGCACTTTAGCCCAAAAGATCTTCACAACAACAATTGCTTACCCATTCCTTTGATCTAAAATACAAAGAAATGCTTAACAACTTAATTGCCCATGCAGCATTACATAAAATTTCCATTATACTTGCAAACAAAAAAAACCCTTACCTTTCTGGATCCTTCGGAAAACAAAAAAAAGCCCTTACCTTTCTGGATCCTTCGGAAAAGAAAAAAAACTTAAATCGGGACGAGTTCGTTTGCTTTGTGTGCAGTTAATGGCAGCACAATGAGTTCTTGACCCACCCTTTACAGACCTGCCTGCCAATTCTCCCGGTTACGCTGGGAGACTCCCGCTTTTGCTGCATCTTTCCCGACCTCCCGACAAAGATACTAAATCTCCCGGTTTTTTTAAAGCTTAGGCTTTCAGAAGTTTGTTGGCATTTTTATTCATCGCATGGAAAGAAATTCTCGATGAATAGCATTCAAAACACAACGTATAGTAGCCGCGGTGCGCCAGGAACTGGGCATAACATTGATTTTCGTTTTTTCGGATAATTATGTAACACAAAATGGCTGCCAGTTAAAATTTTTGTGCATAACACTTGACGTAATCATTGCCATTTGCCTAATAAATCTAAAAATATGTCGTCGTATACAAGAATAGAAATTTCCAGTTTTTTTGTTAGATCTCCCGGTTTTTCTGCATTAATCTCAAGGTTTTGTATTCCTTGGGGTTGGCAGGTCTGCCTTTAGTTTGTTCTCTTTTGCCATAAAATATTTGTGTATGAAAGACACAGAGAGTAGTACATAAAAACCTTGCAATAACTGTATAGCTTTCCAGCACAAAATGAATGGTGGTCCTGGTTTCTAATTAAATATGCAAATTCACACAGCAAAAACTTTCCAAGTTTTTTATTAAAAAAGAGTTAAAAACAACTTTATTGGTAAATGTATACAGATTTGACAAACAAGATGAAATTACAAAGTTTCATTTACAATAATGATGCAGATGCTTTGCAAAATAACAAGTCAAAAAACCTGAATTCAAACATCAAACATAGAAGTACTTTAATGTTTTATAAAGATACTGATCAACATTCTAAAATAACTGCGTCTTCATCACAAAAACTTCTTCATGTAGCAGTAGGTCGTGTAATGTCAGCTATTAAGTAATAAATCCATTGACCATTCTATTAAGAAAATCTATTCTAGAAAACAAAAAGAAAAATAATAAGGCAAAATACATTAAAAAAACCCTTTATTAGTCCTAAACGACAAATCTACTGGGAAATTGCCTTTCAATATCATATACGTTGTAAAAACATTAATCTCGTAACCAACACAATTCAATGAAAGAAACTTATAAAACCCGTAGAATATGAATGACGAAGGTATAATGTATTAAAACTATTTCTTACCTGATTTCCTTTATCTCTTGCTTAAAGGCATTAAAATTGTTGTACATATGTCAATCAAATCCATCAATTTTATGAAAAACTCTCCATAATACTAATCTATATACATCAGGCTGGAGTAATGGCAGATGCAAAAGATGATCACTTGAGAACTGGGTACAAGTAGGGGACAGATTTTTTGCTGTGTGGCGATTCTGTTACGTCTCTATTCTGTGCATGTGTGTGCTTCTCATGTGACTCCATAGTGACATCTATGGAGTCCCATGAGAATGTGACTCCATAGATGTCACTATGAATGAAATCTTTTTGTTTCCTGTGTGAAGTTAACTTCAAAACCTATGACATGCCATTGGTGCCAAAAAGCTTTGTTTAATTTAGACAAATTCAATTTGAATAGAAAAATCAACATGCTTAAACAAAAAATATTATACACATAAAGAAAGATGTGATTTTCGTGAAGAAATTATTACCTGTGATACACTATTTTCAATCCGACATGTGTTTCTGTTTTAGAGATTGACTTTTGATTACAATATACTGTAAGGCATTTCACGGTTTTGGCAGCCATATTGTCTGGGTGGCAAACAAAATTTGTTGCTAGGTACTACCCTTAAGCCCTGGTCAAACGAGCGCAACATTTTCAACTAACACCATCCAACTTTGTTGGAAGATGTTGGAAGATGTTGTGCCCTACTGGTCAAACGAAAACAACATTTTATATCATTGATGATTAAACATTACGCAATTCGAATAAATATGGCGGCCACTAATTTTGAAATTCATCAATATCACAAAATTCGTCGTTGTGCAGCTGCCTTATGTGTAGTAGAACTTCTAGAGGAAAACAAAAGAAGTTGGACAAGAGGAAAAACAAGACCATGGATGAAGAAAAGAAAAGAAAAGGGCTATTTTACCAACATTGTTAAGGAATTAAGAATGGAGGATACCGCAGGATATAAAGAAATGATGCGAATGAGCTATGACAACTTTCAAACGTTATTACGATATATTGAAAAAGACATTACGCCGTGTCAGGTCTCTGGTGGTCACAAAGTAATCACAGCTGCAGAAAGATTAACATTGACCATACGTTTTTTGGCCACTGGGGAATCATATAGATCATTAAGTTTTCAGTTTCGAATATCAAGATCTGCAATTTCATATATTGTAAAAAATGTTTGTGATGCTATAAACGATCATGTTCAACCAGATTATATGAAAGTGCCATCCAAAAAGCGAGAATGGTTGCATATTGCCAAAAAATTTAATGAGAAGTGGCAGTACCCTCATTGCCTTGGAGCCATTGATGGCAAACATGTAGTTGTACAACAACCACCAAATTCAGGCTCCTACTTCTACAATTACAAGCACACTCATTCTATAGTTGTCCTTGCTGTAGCAGGACCTGATTATGAGTGTTTGTATGCAGACATTGGCACAAATGGTCGTGTATCCGATGGCGGAATATGGAATAAATGTGGATTAGCATTGGCTATTGAGGACAATAAATTATCCTTACCAAGTCCTGAATATCTTGCCGGATGTTCAGAGTGTTTACCTTTTGTTTTAGTGGGTGATGATGCATTTGCTCTGAAACTGTACTTTATGAAACCATACCCCTAACAAGGTCTTTCCATAGAAAAGAGAGTGTATAATTATCAACATAGTAGAGCTAGGCGCATATCTGAAAACCTCTTTGGAATTGTAGTTAACAGATGGAGATTTTTGAGGACAACACTTCAGCTACCACCAGAAACTGTGGAATCCTTAATCAAAGCTGCATTTGTACTTCATAATTTCTTGAGAAAAGGTGCCTCCAGAAATGATTATTGTCCACCTGGTTTATGTGATGCTGAAGATTCAAGTGGTAACCTCATTCCTGGTCAATGGCGACAAGACAATTCAGCTATACTTACATCACTCAGTGTATCATCATCTGGTCATAACTCTTCAAATCTTGCAAAATCAATTAGGAATGCATTTATGGAATATTTTTGCACTCATGGTGCTATAGAATGGCAATGGGAAAGATGCTAGTTACTATTTACTAAAATATTGAATAGCCATTACATTGATAATTCATCAACAAACTCAATTTCATGCAATTTTGCAAAACAAAACTAAGTAAATTTTAGTCACTATACAAAGGTGATATGAAGTTGATGAAAATGTTGCAAGCTGTCTATTTTTAAAAATAACACATCTATTTTAAGTAAAATACAAAATTTTTCTACCTCATTCTGTCATCCTCAATTACAACAATAGCAACAGTAGAATACTAAACATGGAACTTATTATTTGCTATACATAGAAAGCTTCCTTAATATCGCACAGCATTTCTTAAAATGGAATGCATTTCAGTTTCTGTAGTCACTTGTGGATTTAACTGCATTTCATCGGACGTTCTTCTGTGAATTGCTGACCAATGTTTTGATTTGCATTTGTATGATTTGAATAAAAAAGTGTTGGATGGGATGTCGAACTATTCATTTCATTTATTTCCAGCTCAAAAATTATATCTGTGATGCGTTTTTCAGCAACTATTCTGGTTCTTGGTGGAAATTTTGATAACTTCTCTGCCACATACATTGAAAATGGACACTGACTAACACTATTTGAAGCAGGCATTGGCTCTTTTAAAACGTCAATGCAAGTAGTAATAAGGTCTCTCTTCTTTTCTTCTGCTTCAGCTCGTATCCTAGTGGGTGTTTTATAACTGCCACGTGATGATTTGGACGAAACCGACTCCAAATCCAATCCTGTATCCATCTCATCATCAACAGAATCAAGACGAGGAGATATATTTGAAGATGAATGCTTTGAAAGGTTGTCTTTACTTTTGCCAGCGTTCATAACCGGACGAAGGAATTGTGATCGGTCCCAATAAGCCCACGACGATGAATAGTTATGACTCGAACTTTGACCAGATTTCGTTTTGTTTGTTTTCGCGATTTCTCGGCCGAGTTGCGCCCTTAGTGAAACAAGTCTAGCTTTAATATCTTTCACGCTAATCCCCAATATATTCTTCATTTCCTCGTAAGCTAGTTCCTTTACATCTCGGCATTGGTAGTCCTTTTGAAATATGTCCCACAGACAAGGTCTTTCTTCGAACAAGTCAATCAAGGTGTTGGTCTCATTCGTGGTCCACTTTCTAACTGCTTTTTTCTTTTTGGTATTATATTCTTCTACAATTACTTCTTTGTCACTTAAGTTTGCTATTTCGTCCGCCATGTTTATTATCAAGCTAAACGTATATTACGCATGCGTATGACCAACATTGTTGCTAACGCCAGGTCAAACGATCGCAACATGCAAAATTAGCATAATTTGTTGGATAAAAATTTGACTATAATCAAATTCCATGCAACATTGTCCAACATCATGCAACATTATAAAAAAGGGTGGTCAAACGGAGCCAACATTTTGTGACAACAAAGTTGGATGATGTTGGATCAAAATGTTGCGCTCGTTTGACCGGGGCTTTATATTTCACTAGTTTAATGATCATTCGGAATATAAATCTTTGTACGAAATAGAAACAAGATTGTTCGCCATCGATATGTATATTTTACTGACATTTGATTGACATGTTTTTCTTCTATTATGCATTTATAATTACTACTCTGATCTTTCTTACACTCCCCAGGGTTGACATAATAAAATGTTGTCAACAAACAAAACAAAAAAAACAAAACTATTTTTAGCTAAGAATGTACAGTTATTTAGAACTTGTTTGTATTCTGCAATCTTCGCAATTGTCCTGTTATTCCCGCGCTGCGTTGTGGTCGATCAGTTGGACGAAGGACTTGTTCCTTTTCGCCTTTCTTATCGTTTTCTACTCTTTCGTTAATGTCTTCTTCCTGATGAACCTCAATTGGAATAAGTTGCCTGATAGAACGCCGCAACAAGTGTGAATGACTAGAGTCTCCACGAAGGACTCTGACTTGTGCAGCTCGTGTAATTCCATCGCCACCTTGTAACAATTGTTCAACCTTCGCCACCTTCCAAAAGATACGTTTTGTTTGATCGTTGCGAATAATGACGATATCTCCAACTGCTATTTCGGGATTTTGATTACCTCTTGATTTTGAAGTGTATTGCTCTCGCAAGGCTAAAAGATACTCGTTTCTCCATTGAAGAATAAAACGTTGCAGTAAATTTTTGTGATGTTTCGCCTTTCTCGTCAAAGATTGATAAGTGCTCTGAATTTCAAAGTGCTCACTGTTTGGCATGGTCGTTATTCGTCTTCCATACACCAAGTGCGACGGGCTTAGCGGAAGAGATACAGCTTCTTCATCGTCGTACACGTAGGTTAGGGGTCGTGCATTTATTACGCCCTCAATTTCAACCACAATAGTATGCAACTCGTCGTAGGTTAGATTGGTTCTACCAACTACCTTTCGCAACGGACGTTTCACGCTTCGAATCAAACGTTCCCAGAAGCCTCCCCACCAAGGGGCCTTTTCGACGATAAATTGCCATGTAATCTGATAGTTTGCAAGATAGCGTAACACTTCCTCAGAACGACATAACTTGCGAATTTCTAAGCATGCAGCTCGGAAAGTCTTAGCATTATCGGATATAAGAAGAGCTGGCAGTGCTCGTCGACTAGCGTATCTGCGGAACGCGCGGAGAAAGGCTGGAACGCTTAAGGAAGGAGTGAGCTCCAGATGAATGGCTCTAGTAGACGCACACGTAAACAATAGAATATACACCTTTGTTGGATTATCCGACAAATTATTCCTTTCACAACTCTCTCGTACGAACAAAGGTCCGGCAAAGTCCAAACCTACGTTTGTGAAAGGGGGATCATCCGACACTCTGCTAACAGGAAGATCTGGAGGAGGCGTTCCCCCATAAGGAAGACCTTCGGCTTTACGACAAACGACACATTTCCTGACTATTTTCTTTACTGCTTCTCGACCACGGATTATCCAAAAATGCTCTCTAATGGTTGTTAGTGTATCACGAATCCCGCTGTGCTTCACATTGTGGTGAACCTCGCATATTAATAACTCCACAAATCTTGATTCCTTTGGAAGCAATACAGGATTTTTGCTCTCCAGATTCAGCAATGAATTCTTCAGTCTCCCACGGCACCGCAGCACGTGATCACCGTCGAGAAATAGCCCAAATTGTTTAACGTAAATGGGTATTGAAGAATTCATATTCTTTGACAAAGGAATAGTATTTCCTTTTCAAAGGATAGTTGTTGAATAGACCTTATCCACAGCAGCTGCTTTCCTTATTTCGTCTGAGCTTAGTTCTTCTGAGGTTGTGAGTTTGTTTGTTGTTCGCTCGCACCGTGGCATCTTCTTTAATATGTTGATGAATCTCATTACATAAGCAGTTGTTCGAAGAAGTTTCTTCATGGAGCTATAACGAGTAGTGTCGATTGCTTTGTTAAGATCTGGCATGGCTCGTTGTTCGATTTCATTCGAAACTAGTGATCTTACGACATTCGGATGCTCTTTCACAATTTTCCTCAGAACTTCGTCACTTTGTGAGAGGTTGCCAACTGGACGTTTTGGCCACTCTTCTTCGCCCCTTGCCAAGAATTTGGGTCCATTGAACCATAAGGAAGAATTCGAAAGTAGTTGCCCAGAAATACCTCGTGAGGGTAAATCTGCAGGATTAAGTGATCCAGGACAAAAGTTCCAAGATTCCGTCAACGAAATACTTCGAATCTTGTTCACTCGATGCTGCACGAATGGTTTCCATGCTCGATCGTTTCGTATCCAGTGGAGTGCTGTCATCGAATCAACCCAATAAAAAACTTCCAGACTCCACTTGAGTGCCTTTAACAAAGACTCTACTAACTTCGCTAGTACAGTCGCTGCCACCAGCTCTAAACGGGGAATCGTTTGCTTTTTCACTGGTGCGACCTTTGTCTTTGAAGCGATTAATTTCACGTCGATGGTACCATTCTCATAGACTGTTCTTACATAGACAACAGCACCAATTGCACTTTCAGATGCATCACTGAATCCATGAACTTGTGTAGTAAGGTATTTCGGTTGGAGTAGATAATAGCACCTCGGTACACGAACATCATTTAGAAACTTTAACTCTGACAATAAAACGTTCCACTGTTCACGTAGATTGCCATGCAGTTCACAGTCCCATCCCAATCTATCCAAGCACATGATTTGAAACAGAATCTTGAGCCTTATCGTAAAAGGAGACAAGAATCCAAGGGGATCGAAGATTTTAGATGACCATTTCAACAACGATCGCTTTGTGACAGGTAAAGAATTGGCGTACTCGATTATTTCAGTCAAATTGAATAGAAATGTGTCCTCCACCGTATCCCACACCATTCCTAGTACTTTGACTTGAGTGGGTTCCGTGAGCAGTGACTCTTTTGCAATTGTCGACTTTGTAAAGGACTGATCATCTTGAGTAACGCTTGATTTGTCACTAATCAAGCTCAAATTCTTTTTACCTTCTAACGCTTCGATAGACTTCACTACGTTACTGGAATTCGAGTTCCATTTTCGCAAGTTGAATCCACCCTTGGCCATCAACTGCTTTGTTCCCTTGTATATTTGCAAAGCGGTTTCATCGGTTTCAGCACCGGACACAAAATCATCGACATACAGAGAATTTTTCAAGTGTTCAACAGTTTCTGGCTCCTGCTTCTCGTGTGTCTTCAAATGATGGTTGATAGTAGCTCCTAGAATTGCTGGCGAAGGTCGTAGACCAAAAACCAATCGACAAAACCTTAGCTTTAATACTTCTGAATGAGGATCCCTAGCGTCCCTTAGCCACAAAAAACGAAGCATGTCTCTATCTTCCTTGTCAATTCCAATCATTAAGAATGCCTTCTCAATGTCAGCAACTAGCCCAATCTTGTTTTGTCGAAATTTGACGAGCAAATCAAAGATTTGTGGAATGAGGTTCGGCCGGTCAGTAAGCAATCGTTTAGTGAAAATTTGCGCAAGTTCGTCGTAGCAGATCCATCATATACAACGCGTAGCTTCGTAGTAACCTTATCCTTTCGTATGACACAATGATGGGGAAGATAGTGAATTTTACCACAATCCTTATCAGATGCCGGAACCCTTTCGACTATTCCTGCTGCCAATTGTTCAGTAATACCATTATTGTATTCTTCAAGATTTTGTGGATCCTTTAGCAGTTTTCGATGCAATGATCTCAATCTATTATGACAGAGTTCGTAATCGTCATCAATTTGCACATGATCATTTTTCCACGGCAGACCAACTTCGTAGCGTGTTCCAGTGAATTGAATATTTCGCACAAAATCTTGTTCCTCGGTTGAGTTCTCTGAGTCAAAGGAGTCAATGCCAACGTTCTCAGTTTCCCAAAAACGCTTCAATGATATTGTTAGCTCATCCCTATCGGTTACGACAGTAGAATTATCAAGGCAGTCGGCTGCTAAAATGAGGCTGTTCAGAGTATGTTCGTCTGATTTTTGTGATGACCATCCAGACAAAAGCCATCCCAATTTGCTGCTCATCGCTGTTGGACCATTTTCTCCTTGTACGACATCACCTGTGACTACGTCCCAATAATGATCAGCTCCTATCAAGATGTCGATTGAATCACAGCTACCATTGTTATCGGAAGAATCAAAGTCTGCAAGTTCTAAACCATGGAGATGTGGATAATCGTCTATATTTATCCTTGTAGGAAGTGGTGCACATATTGTTGGAAATTCGATTGCTTTAATCTCTACTACCTCACCTCCACTCTTGTTTGCAATGCTCACCTTGAACACTTCGCAGCTTTCTCGTTTACTCTTGCCTTGGCCAAAGGTATTTAATTGAAGTGTCTCCTTACCAATTGAATTTAACCTTAACCGGCCTTGAAGTGACCTTCGAATGTAAGACCTTTGGCTTCCAGTGTCAAAGAGAATTCGTGCTGGAACCGATTTTGATCCGTTTGATACGAGAGCTCTGGCTGTCTGCAAAAGAACACTTCCCTTGACAGTTCGTGTGACAGCTGTTGTGGTTGGAGAGTTTACACCTTCTGATACTTTCTGTGGATAGGTGTTATCAATTGCTTTTTCATTTTGGACACCCTGACTGTTGGTAGCAGGATAGCTGCAAATAGATTGGTGATGCCTCCCGGAACAATGTCGACATTTTCTTGTGACTATACACTTGTTTGCTTGGTGTCCCTTTTTTAGACAAATAAAGCAACGGTTGGAGTCCCTTAGAATTTTAACTCGGGCTTCCCTTCCCTTTACCTCTTCACAAGATGCTGAATAATGTGATCCTTGACAGTATACGCATTTAACCTTGAAGCTATGGGCACCGTCTTTATCATTTTTCGTCACTACAAATGTTCCAGCTGTCGATGGCTTGTTGGGCTTATCTTTGTTCTGGGGTTTCTCAATTGAACGCGATGACTCGCTCATTTCACGTGCCTCAACTTCAAACTTTATGGTTTTGAGTAACTCTTCAATTTGCCAAACATCACCAGTAGCTTTTCGTGCTACCTGCAATCTTATTTCACTCGGTAGTTTGGACATAATAATTGGTATGAGCAGACTGCCGTACTGGTTTGCAGATACCCCAAGCGAATCAAGTCCTCGCACTTGAACACTTATTTGATCGAAAACATATCTCAATTGCCCAGTACGATTTTCAGAACATGCAGATATTTGTAGGATTTGATCCATATGTGCGGCAATGACCTGTTGGGTTCGACCAAATCTATCTTGCAGAATCGCAATTGCTGCGTCATAATTTGCGGATGTTAAGGTAAGTCCCTTATCGAACGTGCTGCACTACCCTCAAGCAATGAGAATAGATAATTGAATTTGTTTACCTTAGACATACTCTCGTTGCTGTGAATCGTAGCATTGTATAAGTCCCAAAAGGCGTTCCATTCTGTGATCTTTCCACTGAATTTTGGCAATTGAAGTTTGGGAAGCTTTGGCATCATTATCGCTGGTGTTGTTCTGACAGGGGCATTCAAAATCGTAGAATTCGCATTTATCACTTCATTCGTAATCGTATCAATAGCATTCGTGTTCGTATAGACCGTATTCGTGTTCGTATTAACCGCATTCGTATTCGTGTTCACCGCATTCGTATTCGTGTTCACCGCATTCGTGTTCGTATTAACAGCATCCGCGTACGTATTATTCTCATCGTTGCTTATCGTTGTGTTACTCGTGCTTGCTGTTGCTACCACTAAAGGAATCTGTTCGACTTGTGGTGTAGGACTTTGCCTTCTTTTTATAGTTTCTTGACAAATCTCCGGTTTTCTTGCTCCTTTGATTTTACGTCTAGTGCTTAGAATTCTATCCGAGACGGCGGCTGCTTCTTCAATTTCGTGTTCAATATCCGTTACATCGCATATCCCAATGATTTCGTCGTTTATTTCGTCTAAGATCTTCATCTTACACTCAAGTTGTTCAGCGATGACATTACATCGTTCGATGTCTACTTCAGTGGCATCCAGAAGCTCGAGTGCTTCTTTTACAAGCCTTGTACAAACGCCACGATAACCGCCTCGTTTGGCGCGAAGTCGTTCAATATTATCCTTCAACATTTCTTGGTTTTCGAATGAAGCTGTTCTAGAATACCGTCGTATACTTACTTACCGGCCCCACGTTGGGCGCCATTTAATGATCATTCGGAATATAAATCTTTGTACGAAATAGAAACAAGATTGTTCGCCATCGATATGTATATTTTACTGACATTTGATTGACATGTTTTTCTTCTATTATGCATTTATAATTACTACTCTGATCTTTCTTACAACTAGTAAGTGGTCACGCAAACTTTGGAGTTCTTTCTTAAAAGCTACTATTTTTAAAATATTTTCCTCAAATCTATACAATAAGCTAAAGTAAAGACTTATAAGGTATGTTATGCTTATATTTTGACAATAAAAACAGTATTTAGAGATATTTAACTGCTGGAAAATATTGCGTGACTCTTCTAAGTTTATTTGCTCGCGCGATCTTACCGGATTCGTTTGATACCGGTTTACTTTTCGTCCGGGATAGGCCATGCGTTCACACGGCTCCGCTGCAATCCGATACGCTTTGCATCGTTTTCCCGGAGCGATTTGACTCCGCTGTGGAAGTGGTATGAAAACCAATCCGATACGTTCCGTTGTCGTGTGAAAGCTGGAATCCGATATGTTCCGCTTTGGCAATAATCAAACCTTTGGCGCAATTTTCAAAGATGGATGCAAACGTAGTGATACAAATGTTATTTTCAATGATTATTGCTCTAGCAAATATAACCCATATTCAGCAATGCATGTTTAAGATTCTAACAATGTCTTATCTTCGTCGGCAAAGGCTTCTGTCAAGTAATAATTTGATGAGAACTCATTTTATCAACAAACCAAAGAGAGGTTTTGGACATTACCTGGAAGATCGCATGTGTGGTGGAAAACTTAGAAGTGACGGAAAATTTGTGTGACGGAAAAGCTGTCGAAAGCGAATGGGAGGAGAATTTCAGAATGTCAAAAGCAACCTTCACGGCATTATGCAATCAAGTTCGTCCACTCATATGCTCTAAACATACTAACACGAGACGTCCACTTTCAGTTGAGACCCAAGTAGCACTGACGCTATACTTTTTATTGGATGGAGGACGAATGTGAAAGACTGCCATTGCATTTGGATGCAGATTATCGACAGTTTCTACTGTGGTCAGCCGAGTCTTCAAAACTATTGCTACTAATCTTGTCACAGCTTATATACGAGTACCCCAGATGGAAGAAGAAGTAAATCAATCTGCTTCCCAGTTTTTTAATGCTTTTGGTTTTCCTCAGTGTATACGAGCTGTCGATGGCACACATATCCCAATTAAAAAGCCTGTGGAAAATGCAGTTGACTACATTAACAGGAAAGGTTTTCACAGTACGAATGTGCAAGGCTGTGTTGACTACAAATACTGCTTTATTGATGTCAACATCAAATGGCCAGAAAGTGTCCATGATGCACGATCTTTGGAAATTCCAGGCTGAATGAAATGCTGCTAGATGGAACTATTCCTCAATGTCATAACGTAGTTGTTGATGGTGAAGACCCAGTACCTGTTTGTATTCTTGGAGACCCTGCATACCCTTTGCTACCATACTTCATGAAAGAGTTTGCCAAAGGGGGGGGGGAGTACACAAGCTGAACAGTTCTTTGGATACAGACTGTCTTCAGCAAGAATGGTTATAGAGTGTGTCTTTGGCCGTTTAAAGGCTCGTTTTGGAATTTTAAGGAAACCAATTGATTTAAATATGGACAAAATTCCCCTTCGTCATCCTAACATGCTTTATTCTGTACAATCTTTTTGAACTGCATAATGAACACATCAGAAATGACAAAGTACCTGCAGTTCATAACTACAACAAAGAATTTTGGCAAATTCAATATCTTCATGCACCTGAATTTAATAACAATGGAAATGTTGGAATTTAATAACAATGGAAAGCACACCAAAATATTTATGAAATTTTTTGAATAAAGCTGTTTTTATTAACTGAAATTTGTATCATGTGTTCAATGTCACTACTATGTGTTAAGTAGAAGACAATGTAAGAAAGGAAGCTAAGAAATATATAGTTTATTGGATGAAGTTTAAAGCAGTTATCTCTTGCTACGTTCCAATATAGTAATAAAAAATTGTTTGAAACTCCCTTAAAATTAGTTTGAATATCAATTAAATCTAATTGTCATGCTCTGCCTCAAGAAGTTGAGTAAAATCAGTAGGCATGTTAAAGTTCTGCCTTCTATTTCTTTGATTTTCATGGACATAAAAATTTGGTAATACACTTTGTGAGCTCATTTGTGGAAAACCATTGCCATAAAATGCAGGTTGTGGTTGCTGTTGATGCTGTGTATGAAGAATGTTTTCCATCATTCGAAAGCAACTTGTCATTGCAGTTGCCATTTTATCCATACTTGTTGTCATCTTTGCTTCACTTATAAATTCGTTGTGAAGGGTCTTACCCTGCTCAAACAGCTCTCTCTTTAGTTGCAAGTCTTCTTTTAAGAAATGCAGCTGCTGTGATTCCAGCTATTTTTTGCTCCCCATATTCCTCACATGCTGTTGATTAAGAAATGTGGATATCTTTTCACGCCTATCACCCCAAGTTTGCAGAAGCTTCCGATGTGACTGGGTAGTCAGTAGATGCCAAAGGTTCATCATCATTGTCTTCTGTGAGTTCATTAATACTCCCATCAGATGAAATACCAACACAGGAAGCTGGGGAATCAATACTCACAGACACACTTGATTCAATACCACCTTCAGTAGCATTCAATAAAAAATGGTGAAGAAATAAGGGTTATTATTGAATATTTTTTAAATCATAATAAATTTAGCTAAATTGAACTAGCAAAATAACGATGTTAAGTGCATGATATGTCTCTAAAACATATATCTAATAAAAAGTACATTTATCTGTGCCTTATTTTTTGAAGCTGTGTATTAATCTATAATTTAATATTGTATAATTGCTTCAACAGGTTGAATTATTTTGCGCTCAACTTCAAATCTGTTGGTTGCAGGAGCACCAGCCCAAACATCATTGCACAAATCGAAGAAAGTCATGACAACCTATCCGCCTCCACCTCTTCCTCAAGTCAACAGCTTTTTTGAAGTTCTTTCGGATGTTTTTCAGTTTGGCAACAATTCTTTCTTTTGTTATAATGTCCAAATTTGAAAATTTTGGAAAGCTTTCATCTAGTTCCCCATCCATCTCCACTTGTAACTAGCGATCAACAAAAATACCTCGTATTCGATCGTATTTAGATTTTATACTTTCCCAGTCCTTGCCCTCGTACATACAGTTCGATGCAAAAATCTTCATGCACTCCAGCAACAGTTCCACTTTGCTATCTGTCCAAAAAAAGGCGTCTTTTCCTTGCGCAGTATTTGAATTGCCAGCCATTGTTGTTATTACTAACACATGCAAGAAAGCGCGCGAATAGAAATAGTAGCGCGGCAAACGAATCCGATATCGTGTGAACAAAGAGCATTTTTCGTATCGGATTGCTCTACGAATCCGGTTCGAGACAAATTCGGTATCGTGTGAACAGGGCTTATGACTTTGTTTAGATTTATAAAAATATTTACATTTGCAAAATAAGAAAACAACTTTTGCTCTCAAACGAGCTTTGATAAAACAAATTTGAAGTATTTAAAGTGCAACCCATCACATTGCACCACTGTTTCTCTATATAACATACACATTTCAAACATTTGTATTTTTGGCGTTGTACTGAGTGGTCTCACGTTGTGTCACTTAAGCATCTGCTATTTTACATCAAAACAATGTGAAAATACAATAAGAAAGGAGTTTTATTCCTAATAGAAATTTGCTTAACCAAAATGGGTCGTGGTGAATGCAGCAACGACCGTCAATATCCAGAGAGGTATATTGTCCACTGTCATGTTGAAAAACTGGTCTTTCACAAACCATCAAGTTCTGAAGTGCAATAAGCTGGTGCATTCAAGTTCAAAAAGGAAGAAAAGATTTAAAAATTGAGAAAAGTCAAGAGAGTGTTATTGTATCTCAAAAAAAAATGACAAAAGTTGCATAATCAAGAGGGATCTAACAAGACAATATGTGTTGGGGGAGATGAAAATGACAGGGCTTTGCTATAGCCTGGGCGATGATCGCCTATTAGCTTACTCCTCAGCGGCAGAATGCTTTTACATAATTACAATATGTTTCATGTTTAAAATTTCATAAGACAAATCAAGACAAAAAAGAGCACCCAATCCCAAATATTTAAGCACGGTACCTTGCTTTTTGTCGTGTAAACAACACAAAGATAGGCACCAGTGCCCAAATGTTTAGAGGTGCAGAGAACTTCTCACGAGGTAGTCTCGGCACGTGTAATGAGCGGTGCAGTAGTAATATACATGGGGGTACGAATCCATAAAAAGTTTACTTTTTATGTATTCGAATCCCCCATGTATATTACTACTACACCCGTGGGTAAAAACTATCTTTATAACAGCGTAAAATAAGACCATGGTATAAAGACGTCCCTCTGGTAAAAGGTCATGTAAAAAAGCTGCGTAAAAAATTGTTTGTTTCAAAGAGGGTAAAAACTTTCTTTATAACAGCGTAAAATAAGACCATGGTTCAAAAGGCGTCCCTCAGTAAAAGGTCATGTAAGAAAGCTGTGTGAAAAAAGTCATTGTTTCAAAGGGTAAAAATATGGAATCTATATGTTTTTGAAATATATAGGTGCGTTTAAATTTTACAAACGGTCTTTACAAGCATCGGTTCGGAGAGGGCTCGGCAGCGCAGAGCATGAAATGCTCGAGCAGGGGAATGGAGCCCTCGAGAATTCTAAGCGACGGTGGGGAAAATTTTCACGAAGTGAAAATTCGGAGCGCCCCCATAGATTCGATGAATATTCGAAGAATATTCGAGAATAACAGAGGCTTAAAAAATGCTCTTCAAAAAACCGTCTTTAATAATCAAGTGTTAATAATCAAGCGTTATTAAAATATCAGTAGCAGCGCGCTTTATAGTCTACTGGTATATTGGATTAACTAGTGGTCTTTAACAATGGTCTG